AATGAAAACGTTTTTTCGCGGTACACGAAAAACGCTAATTTCGCAATAACTCAAAAACTGTTCTACTTTTTGTATTTTGGATTTTACATAAAAAATGACTATCATAAGTCATAGGTCAATTTTGTTGTAAACTAGTGTAATTGATATAACAAATAAAACATGAAAGTAGTGTGCTTAAAGCTATATGATATTTTAACGTATATTAATAATAAAGTACAACTTAATTCAATCACCAGAATAAAATAAGTTAATTGATATTAAGCTATAATATGATAAATGGAGAAATAAAAATAATTAGTTAACAATAAAAAAATTACTATAATTGAAAACAATAGACATTTACCTAAAGCACATGCATAAGTAAGATAAATATATTTCGTGCAACGACACATCAACAGTATAAATTGTGTTGAACTATTATTATTAAATACATAAATAATAAATTTGTAATAAATAAAATATTGAAGTTTGATAGCTTATTGTAAGTCATTTTATAAGTTGTGAATTAATCTATTGCAATTAATAAAAATATCATTATATTGGTTTACAAGTAATAAAATACTAGAATTATATTAAAAAATAATTGGTCAGAAAAAACTAACCAAGTCATAAGTATATTTTACAAAATTAATTTAAATTTATTTTTATATTAAAATTAATCTTTTTAACATGAAATGTAAATGCTTTGTAAAAGAGTATTTATTGAAATCGTGATGAAGAAAACACAATAAAATTTATAGTCATGAAAGAATATTAAAAATTGACTAGACTTGAAGTAAGAGATGTTTATGTTAAATTCGTTTTATAGCATAGTGATGATACAAGGAAGGCTGTTGGCGTGATTTAAAGTGTTTTTCTTTCATGCATTTAGATGAATTGGTAACATGCGAAAATGATAAGGATGACAGGACGTTGATGGTTTTATTGCGACGCTTTGGCCTAGGCAAGGAGTTGAACAGGAATTTTGTTTTTTCACAAGTATACTCACTGCGGTACGTGTCTGCTGATAGGCTAGTGTCTTTATTTGTCTGATACTGCCTAGGCTTACGACCGCTCCAGTCGCGCACATTTGGATCGGCTCCTATATGAAATATAAAAATAATAAAGAATTAAAAAAATCAATTTATTTCTTTTAAGAAATCAATGTTTTATTAACATGAACGATGATTATTGACACGCCTAGGAAAAAAAATTTGAGGGTGATAAATTAATTTTTCGTCAACAAAATAAATAAATTTATTTGCATAAGGTTTAAGTTCAAGTTGCGTAATATGCCATCGTGTGAAATAATTTTTGAATCATTTAGTTACATTAAGAGTCGGAAGAAAAACTGCGAACTTTTATCTATTGTTCATAAGTTTTTCACCTCTCTTAAGTATAATCGAATTTGGTTATTCATAATAATAATATTATTTTTGTTTCGTAATTTTTTAGAATTATTTTTATAAAACACATTATTTAGCTTAGGCGTATTATTTAAGGCGATTAACTAATAATTTAGCTAATTAAATAAAATATAATTTTGTATTTTTAAGTTTAATCTTAATTGTTTAGATTTCACCATTTTCACCTTTTCTAAACGACATATTATGTTAGTATGTTAAAAATTAGAAAATTTTAAACAATAAATAAATAATATTGTACCAATAAATATACAAATTAAATTAACACATTATGATTACCATAAGACTCTACTAGTATTTTGTAAACTTCCTCGTGGCCAAACTGCATTGCAATATGACAAGGTGTATGTCCCTGTATTATAAAATGATAATAATTATTAGATATATCAATAGAATATTAAATACAGAGAATGATCAAAACAGACTGGACTGATGCAGAAATTAGGGTTTACTGTCCATATAATACACAATTATAAAATTAATTAAAATTATGAAAAGAAAACCATAAAAATATGTGTTGTAGATTTATTATCATTTGATCATATGCAACTTTTAAATGAATATTTTTATAAATTGAAAAGACATTTTGAGTGTTTTTATTCCAAGTTCTATTTTGATTTTGCATTAATATTATACAAAAGACTACCATTCAGATGAACAGCATTTACGATAGAAATAGGGTGACAAAAGAGTGTATAAATTATACTTAACGCAAGTGTTATTTAATTCGTTGTGTCCCCATATACCACGAAGTGTCAACGTAGAAGGGTTTATTCAATATATTTTATGGAAATAATAAAGTGTCATGAAGGGGTCAGCGAGTGGTTCATACGATTTGTCTCGCACACTTTTTGATTTTTCAATCGTTTCATAAACGATTCATGGATACAATTAAATTGCAAACAGATGTCGTCAGCTCAGTGGAATATAAGAGCTATTGAATGAAAGCAAAACAATAAGACAGAGGATAGCAACGTCAAGGGTTATGTAAAAAATAAAAATGACACAAAGGTTTAAATTTCTCTCCAAACATTGGTAGCCGTTCGTCACACTTCTCAATATTGAATGTTTTTTAATAGCCCAGTCATTTAAATCATTCTCGACTGTAAAAATATATTAATTTTACTTACACTGTTCTATAATTGTAATTTGTATCAATTGTCCCAGTACATAAAAAAAAAAAAAAAATTAACACGATTAAGTATAGCATAATTTAATTGAAATAAAATT